AGTCTTGACTGCAAGCATTATTTCTAAATACATTTAAATGTACACAAATTCCTTCCAGGCATGATAAAAAATAATCAAGCGACAGGTGCAGAATATACCTATTAGTAAAAAAGTAGCTGAACAATCAGTGCACATACTGTGCAGCTGTATTCTCAGGTAAAGAAGTTCCCAGGAAGTCTAGACATACATATTAGTTCTGCCCAGCAGGTCAGTAAGAGAGGGGGGCTGACTTGGAGCCAGCCAGCCGCTCAGGCATGAGGAGGGTTTGAACCTCTCTGAGTCTATACAGTCCGGTGCTGGGGCTGAGGTTGTGGTTGTTGTGCCGGCAGCCAGTGGCTGCTGCGTACCTGCAATCTCCCTGATGGTAATGCAACATGGCAGCCCCGAGGGCAAAGCCCATACAACTTTCTCAGCCCTCTCTGAGTAATTGGTGACCCCTGAACCTGCCCTTCGTATAAAGGGAGGAATGGGAGGGGGAAAGGGGAGATGGGGGGAGGAGGGGGAGACAGGACAAGGGATAGTCAACAGAGAAAAGGGGAGACAGGGTCATAAAAAGGAAAGGAAGACAGAAGGCAGGAGAAGGAAAAATCAAGGAGACGCAAGCTGGGAGGAAAAGGTTAATCTCTTTTACTGTGGATAGTTTGAAAGTTCAACAGAGACAGAAAAAGTCTGCAGCCCAGTTGTGTCCATCACACATTGGGAGCAAACGGGGAGACCCTTCAGCTCCAGTCTGTCCTCTAACTGCATCTTGTATCAGCCCATCTCAAACTATGTTTGAGAAATTGCAAGTAGCATTCTCTCTATTGTTAACAGTATGATCAAAATAAGCAAGTATTGTTAATATATATATATAAACTGGTCAGGATGGATGCTGGCCATACAAAACACAGAACTTTGGCACCAGAGAGAGGAACCGCGCTTAGGTTTAGGCTATGAAAACACTTTGGCTAAGGTTAGGGAACGCTTGTGGTTTGGGGTAAAGCAAGAAAAGTTAACACATACACTTTTGTGCTTCAAGTCAGCTTTGAATTTTTGAGTATTTAACCAAGACCATACATTTTTTCTAACCTTAACCAAGTGCTTGAGTCATGTAATGCTGCAATCATGTCATATTGGAGTTACCATAATTACCTGTTTCCTACTTGAAGTGTTTACATCCATGACTTAATCATGACTACGAAATTTGGATTTTTATGAAAGGCTAGATACATTAAATTTTGTTGTAAATAATACAGAAGTGTCTGAAAAAGTAAACAGATATGGAAACCTCACATAAGCCAATGTAAAACCAAATAGATCAGTTATACTGTCAATGCATGGTATTTTTAACCCTCATACAACCAGTTCTGTAATCATGCAACTGTCTTGAGTGACCAGAGATATTAACTCTTGCAAATCATGAACATGGGAATGTATTTATTTATGATGTAAAAGGGTCACAAACAAATTCCTGAATATTTGAATAATGCTTTAGTTGTGACAGGTGGATACTGGGTTGGAAAACAAGTGCTGGTACATTCATTAAAAACATTTACTCATTATGTTGATTAAAAAAAATCATAATGCAGGAGGCATTACATTTCTTTGAATTAATTTTTTGCATAAATGAAATACAAAAATGTAATTTATATTCCATATTAAGACCAATGCTCACCTACAACTTATGGGAAGGCAGAAGCAACATTGTACTGGTAGATCAATTAATTAATTGATTACATCCACTAAACACCAAATAATAGCCCATCATATTTGGGGACCATTGCATCCATACAGGCAGTCGTTTCAAAACACTAATTTGCTCTTGAGAGCTACAATTAAAACACTAAACACATCACTACAGATTTCAATATGTAGTGCAGCCATATGGTATGGAGATACTCTTTGTCCTTACAGCTTTTTATAAAGCTATCTATTCTTTACCCGAGGTGCTTCATGTTCCCCATCTCTATCTTTATCTTTGGGCAGTACATATTAGTCTGTTCCACTGCATTCATCGCTCCGGCCCTGTCTGTGTTGGTTTTTCTATGCAGTATGAATCCATTTGTCTCCACTGACGGAAAATAATTGCAAAGCAAACAAATCATCTCTGCCACATTGAGCAGGCCTCTACTCCTGGGGCATAGCAGCTAGATAGCTACAAGAATGAAAGACGGACCGCCACAGAGAGGAACGGAGAGAGAGAGGAGGGAGAGGAGTAGAGAAGGATGGAGGAAGTTCAGAGCAAAGTGGTTTGGCATTTGCATTATATGTGCAGAGTGTTAAAACAGGTTATGTTAGAGAAACTGATGCAGTCAGATTGAAAGTGACTACACAGGGCATTGGGGAGGCGAGAGAGAGCACGAGAGCGAGAGGGAGACAGAGAGAGGCAGAAACCTCAGTAGAGGTCTGCCAGATGGAAACTCACTCCAGGAACATAAGGAGGAGACATCTGGGAACACACTGCCTTGGAAAGAAGATAATTATAGCATGATTCAAAAATGGCCTTTTCGAAAAGAAAAGCTACAAACGCATCATAACTGTTGGTGTTGTTCCGACTATAGAAGCAGCAGGGTTCATTGATGAGGCCAGAAGAATGATTTTACAACAGAGAAGTTGCTGGACTTTTATGACAACATTCTGCAAGGCCTGTTTAACACTATCCCTGCCATTGAGGACATAATCCATCAATCTGTGTTTTCACTGTTATAAGACAGGGGGCGCTGTTACACATCTTGTGAATAAGAACAGCACTGCCTTGTCCAAAAACAAACAAAGAAGAAGATCTACTGGAAACTGGAATAAGATGTTCTTACAGAAATGTAGCAGCTTGTAAACTGCATGACGGAAAGGTTTATGGTTGCACAAGACGTGGAGATGTTAATGGACTCAGACTCCGACAATACCTGTTGATCAACATTCTGAATCCATTTTGGAGGAAGACGCAAACAAATTTGGTGGGATGAACCAGAATCTCTATGACAGTGACAGTGACACACAAACAAGACGACTACAGAGGAGAGGAAGACAAAAGTATCGACACTGAACGATCACTGAATGTGGCAAAGTGTTCCTGTTTTGCCCTAATTCCAAAAAAAGACAATGTTCCTAATAAGCTGTTTGCATGGCTAATGAAAATTAATATTCCATTAATAATTCCCATTGGCCACATGGTGGTGCCTTGGTTAGCATTGTCCCCTTACAGCATGACAGTTCCTGGTTCAAACCTGGGGGGGAGGGTTCAAATCCCGGAGTGAAGGACTCTCTACTCCCACAATCCAAAGACATGCAGGTTAACTGGTGACTCTAAATTAGCCGTAGGTGTGAATGTGAGAGCGAATGGTTGTCTGTCTCTATGTGTCAGCCCTGTGAAGTTTTCCACCAGTGGCGGACTCATTCAACAGTGCGAACACAGCATCCATCTTTCATTCCTTCAACCAACGTCTTGAAAAGGAAACTGATGTGATATTTTAATGTGGGCTTTTCTTTTGGTCATGCCTCTCTACCCCACAGGCTTGCAAACTGTTGGTTTGTGCACTATGCATAAATGACAACAAAAAGAGATGACCGTAAACAGGCAAGAGGCCACGTGTTGCAAACTGCAGTAAAAACCCCAGTTGAGACACATATTCTGAATGTGCTGTATACATGTCCAAAGAATGCTCCTGAAACCTGCATGATATTGGCATATCCCCTGTGTCTCAAACGAAAAATGCTAAATTTGGCAAAAGGCCTAATGCAGACTATCCAAATGCAATACAGTCTGAATGACCCATATAAAATTCAGAATATTGTCATATGGAATAAGAGTGGAATATTGGTGTGCATGTAAACAGTCATTGACCAGATTTACATGCACACCAATATTCAACTTTTACTCCGAAGGTGCCTGGAAGTATGTAATTATACAGTATCTGGACCACATCTATCGTCCAACTCACTTTGGACGAAACCATGCCCACTTCCGCACAATGAACCTGAATTGTCAGATGTCAAGGTCTGATGACTGGCTGCCAGTCTACTGCATCTCACTCCATCTCACTCCATCTCACTCCCTGCTGCAAGGAGACTACATCTCACTCCCTGCTGCAAGGATACTACACAGCTGTAAAGTTTGCTGATCAAGCAGGGAAGAGACTGCTGCTAGCTAGCTAGACAACCCATGGATGTAGCCCATGTCCCCTTCACCTCACTTCCCTCGGACAGTTTGCTGATCCAGTGAAGGTTTGGGGGGCTGTCCACCCACTGAAGGTCTGCATCCACAAAATATGACAGCCACAGTAGCTTGGAAATGGAGTATGGATACTTAAAAGGGAACTGACAATTTTTAACCAGCTCTGTGTCACTGCAGTCTAGGCAGTGTGTACAGGCAAAAGACCGGAAGACTTACTTCGGCAAATGAGTGAACTCTGAGAGCTCACAGCACAGGGGAGTGCCAAACCCTTGGAGATCCCTGCTTATTTGCCAGCAAAAGTCCAGTTGTCCTCTGTCGGCAGATGAGCAGGAAGTTCCAGGCGCTCTGCGGATGATATAGGGTTGAGTTCCTATGTGTTTTGTGGCAGAGGTGGTGTTCAAAGCCACTGATGAACTCGAGCTGTGCTGTTTCACAGGGCACCCAGTTAGTGCTAAGAGTACCACTCGCAGTAGTAGGCTGGCAGCCAATAATTGGGCTTTCGTCTGGCAGTACATTTTTGTCACGCATAAGTGGGTGTAATTTCACCTTAAGTGGGATGGAAAAATGACATTTGCAGACCTTTGTTCATGTCTTCATCGAATATGTGACATCACATTTTCCTGTGTATTCCCACCCACTTCAAACCAGTACGAAAAGGTCAGATAAAAACACAAATAAAGAAATCTTTCAAGTTGAATAAACATAACTGTTCAAAGATGGTTAGAAAGTTGTATGCTCATAAAAAAAGAACAAGGCTGTTGCAGTTAAGTTCTCCATTAAACGCAGCAATACATGTTTTAGTAAACAATCAATGTGTGCTGATTATCACTGTGTTGTGAGTGAGTGATACCTTGTTCTGGGGTTGGTTAACAGGTGGTAACGTACATATCCGTAACTGCATGTTCTGCATGTATTGAGATGTCCACTCCCTATAACGGAGGGTTAAAAGGTTCAAAGAAAATGTGAGTATTTATCAAGTCTTAGGGCTGCTGTGAATCTACGCCTATTTGGCAAATATCAAAAGCTACAGTTGAGTCACTCTAAACCCTAGTTACTTCCAGCGTGGCCTTCCAAAGCCTCAATGTTCAAAGGCCGAAGACATTTTGGCTTTCATGATATGGCAACATAAGGGTGCTCATACTACTGCTACAGACCCGTGGCTTCAGTATGAAATGGTCAACCTTTAAGTTTATGACATTTATGTTTTAAATCCAGCTTTGTGGGATGTACTACATCATGACGTCAAACATTAGACTTCTGTTTACACAAAAAGTTACTGATGCAGCCCACATTATTTGAGTTGGATTCAGTTTAGTTGAAGGATGTTTCTCCGCCCACTGCAGACTTGCATTAAGCTCATCATCATAAAATCGGCTCTGAGCATATATGACCAGTCCATAAGGGTCAATAACTACTTTAGCTTCCTTGTTAACTGCATGGATTGCATAATATAGACTACACTATGCAGGCCTCTATATAGTGCAGCTAATTATGGGATATATTATGGATATGAATTGCACTCTGGCTTAATACACGTGCATACATTAGTTCAAACACAGGTCAGGGTGCTTTAGAAACAGATAGCAGATGGACTGTGAGGTTAGGAGAGGTTGCACGCGATCCAGTCCCCAGCAGATATTATTGATAGACTGCTGTGCATGCTCTGCTCCAGCTGTGACAATTGGGTAAGCTGTAGGATGCTGGTGGTGCAGCTGGATTATGCTGGATAGACCTAAATAAACAGACGCAAGAGAATGTATTGCGAGTATGGATTAATTTCACGTCTGTCATTACTATGCATGACCGTTCGTAGCCACTGCACATTGGTCGCTTATTTACATGCTTAATAATAATAATTTTATCATTTTTTTAATCTACCTTAATGTCTTATGTGAATTCCTTCAGCCAAGTGTGCTCATTGGTTGGTCCAGGCACGTTTATAAAGATTAGGCTCATAATAATTAGGAGAGGGGAAAAAAATCAATACAGCATAGTGTCACGATATGTTTGCATGGCATTATCATATTGATACACTGACATCTAGTATCTGTTTCTTTATTACATAAATTATTAATATTGCAAATACAAATTTACCTTTTGGTAGCCTACTAGAATAATGAAATGTATGTTTTCAGTCTGTTAGATACATGGTGCTGCAATAAAAATGAATGAAGTGAGATTAACAGATTATAAACTTTATCTTAAAACAAAATGTTGACAAAGTTCTCCTTTGAGGACAAAATTAGCAGTTGAAAAAAGGTAATAGATTGCAATATATCGCAATATATGTTATCGCAATATTGCATATTGCGACATGTTTAAGATCCCAATAATATTGCATCACGACTTAACTATCGGGATAATATCGTGGAAACTATCGTAAAGGGGTAGAAATGTAGTTTGATACTGCATCATTGCTACCTGATTTTACATTTTATTTATCACATATCATCATAAATGGCACAATAATAAGTAATAAGTTCCTTTTATTTGTGCTTTAGAAAGAGTTAATACAGAATATGGATAGTATGCCTATGGTCAAAAAAAGTCTATACATTTCTGTAACACTAGGCCTAGACTACACTGTCATTTTATATAACATTAAAACGGGGTTTTCACTTTAGCAACACAAGATTTTTATGACATGTTGCGAGGATCCCTGCCATGAAATCGACCATTTCATTTCCTCAATAGACCTCTCCTAAGAGAACACACAGGTGTATGCTAACTAATGACGTAAATATAATGGCCGCATGCTGTATAGCTGTGGAGGTTACACAGCCCAGGTACTCACTCAAGAGACTGTTCACCAGGCCAAAACGTACAGCTGACAAATACTGAATGTACTGAGACAAACTGCTTTTATAAATTGTACTTTTGTGAGAGTAAACAGTTAGCTTACCTCAGGGTTGACTGCTGAGGGAAAGGCCTGTCAGTTGTTGGCCTATTTGTCACACAAAAACTAACTTCAGCGACTTTGTCTCTCCAGTGAGAAAGTTCGGGCGAAATGTGCCTACTAGAGAGTTATATTAATTTAATTTAAACTTTTCGCAACGCAGAGCCTGTTAGCAAAACAACTAAAGTGTTAAATTTATTTAAAAAGAAACCGGTGTCATCACAGATACACCACACACCTGAGGGCGCAAGGATACATACAGCACGCGCCGAGATATAAGCCCCATATCTAACATAAAAATGTGTTCTTCCGCAAGATCATTTCTAAAACGTGAGCATGAGAAGGATATTACGGGCTAGACGAAGCACCTTTATTAACCCTGACATTAAATTTTCTTTTCTGATAACTTCTGAGAACTACTTCGACCTTTCACTTGAGACTTAAATCCTGCAGACTATGAAAGCAAAAAATGAAACCACTTCTCCCCCACGTGTCAAAAAAGCCTCAATAAGTTTATGAAAAAATACATGAATTATTGGATGAATGAAAAGCACAGACACCCCTCATCATCTATTACTAGACTACTCATTAAGTCGCCATAGTCTGCCATTACATGTTCTCTGGTACCCTCTAGTGGTCAAATGCTGTAACATCCTCTTAGAGCTGAGAAGTGTAAAACCAAGTGGGACCTTTTTTATACTCTTATACACATTAATAATCATTTTAAAATAAAGAAATGGAAGACGATATGCCACAAATATTTAATATTTATATAATATGCTTGGAAAAATGCTTGTGAAAAACAAAGCAAGAATTTCCACTGTTCACAATTGGCACAGTATTGCTGCTAATCCAAGCTCAAATGTAATGCTCCATATTAAGTGCTGTTACAGGCCCAGAAAATTCTGGCTGTAGCACTTATGCCTTGTATAATGTATAAAAATGTGGCTGCAACATACAAGAAATTCACCTGTTGCATATAATAACAAAGAACAGTCATATCTGAGTGAAATTTGTACCCACTTAAAATTTTTTAGAAATGTGCACACAGAGACATTTTTTGCAGCTGCCGTCACATATGAAATTGTAATGTGCAATCACAATACTCAAATAAGTGCATACAATTATTTTTGACTGTGAACATCTTTAACAGTTTGACAATTGAGGCATCCATAAATCCTTTATTTCCCCAGTGGTTCAATTTATACTTAAAACAAATTAAATGCAGCTGCAAAGCAATATTGGCCAAAACTCCGCTGACAGGCCAGAATTTAATTTGTTGCCTGGTGGGAAAAAAGCCTATTCACATCCTTCCAGGAAGCACTGAAACCTGTGTAGATAGGTTCCTGCTACACAGACACCTCTAAGAGCACCAGTAGGACTGGATGAAGGACCGTCCATCACCAGTCTCGCTGTGGTATTCCAGGATCTTCATTGTGCTGTGATGCATCTAGACAGTTCGCAGGAGCCAGTGTGGAGGTGTGATGCCAGACTGGGAGAAGTAGTTCCACCACCATGGTTTCTCCTCACGCTCTATACCACCCTCACCTATGTCTGGCTCGCTGTAGCGCTCAAACTGGTTGTAGGGGTCGAATCGATCCCATGAGTCAACTGTGGGGAAGAGGTGGTCATCGATATCTGGCTCTCTGGGAACCTGGATGCAGGAGGAAAGGGTGAAGATAGAGAGCAGGGCTAATCAGTGATCATCCATTTAGTAGTCACTGTTTTTGAACTTGTATTTGTGTTAGTTGTGCTTGTGTTTATCTCTACCTGCCCAGGGCCTGCAGATGGATATTAGCTGGTAGCTAAATCCGGTACAATAAATCTCTACTAAAACTACACCGTGCATGGGTAAAAATAAGATTAAAAAGGATATTTGAATAGCATTTGGTTGAATAAGATAATGAAGACAAAAATCCAACCTTCTCCAGGAGAAAGTCGACACGTCCAGCCTTGGTCATACTGTGAGGCAGATAAACCCTCTTACTGACCCTGGAGTAACCCTTGGCTGTGGCTGTCAGGATGTGAGTACCAGGGTTCAGCAGCCGCCAGTAGTCTCCATCTTCAGCTGGAGGGAGGGGAACAGAACACAGTCATACAGTCAGCATTACAGAAAAGGGGTCAAACAAGTGAAGGAAGAGAGGTAGCAAAGGAATAGCACAGTAAAAAGAGCTAATGTGAGAATCAAAAGGGGAGAATGTACAAATAAACAAGTCTACAGCCATGCTGGTGGCTCTGAGAGGATGAACATGGGCACAGCGGTGCTTTGAAATGCTAATGTTAGCGCACTGACATACTCACAATGTCCCTGTGTTCCCAAGGTCCTATGTTCCCAGGGTCCTATGTTCCCAAGGTCATATGTTTCACAGCTTCTATATTCCCAAGGTCCTATGTTCCCAGGGTCCTATATTCCCAGGGTCCTATGTTCCCAGGGTCCTATATTCCCAGGGTCCTATATTCCCAGGGTCCTATGTTCCCAGGGTCCTATGTTCCCAGCTTCTGTGTTCCCAAGGTCCTATGTTCCCAGGGTCCTGTGTTCCCAAGGTCCTATGTTCCCAAGGTCCTAGGTTTCCAGCTCCTATGTTCCTAAGGTTGGCTGTTCCCAGGGTCCTGTGTCCCCAAGGTCCTATGTTCCCAGGGTCCTATGTTCCCAGGGTCCTATGTTCCCAGCTTCTGTGTTCCCAAGGTCCTATGTTCCCAGGGTCCTGTGTTCCCAAGGTCCTATGTTCCCAAGGTCCTAGGTTTCCAGCTCCTATGTTCCTAAGGTTGGCTGTTCCCAGGGTCCTGTGTCCCCAAGGTCCTATGTTCCCAGGGTCCTATGTTCCCAAGGTCCTATGTCTCCAGAGTCCTGTGTTCCCAAGGTCATACAGTATGTTCCCAAGGTCCTATGTCTCCAGAGTCCTGTGTTCCCAAGGTCATACAGTATGTTCCCAAGGTCGTAAGTTTCCAGCTCCTATGTTCCTAAGGTTGGCTGTTCCCAGGGTCCTGTGTTCCCAAGGTCCTATGTTCCCAAGGTCCTAAGTTTCCAGCTCCCATGTTCCTAAGGTTGGCTGTTCCCAGGGTCCTGTGTCCCCAAGGTCCTGTGTTCCCAAGGCCCTATGTTCCCAGCTTCTATGTTCCCAGGGTCCTATGTTCCCAGGGTCCTGTGTTCACAAGGTCCTATGTTCCCAGCTTCTATGTTCCCAAGGTCCTATGTTCCCAGGGTCCTAAGTTTCCAGCTCCTATGTTCCTAATGTTCGATGTTCCCAGGGGCCTGTGTTCCCAAGGTCCTGCGTTCCTAAGGATAAATGTTCCCAGGGTCCTAGGTTCCCTAGGTCCTATGTTCCCAAGGTCCCATGTCCCCAGCTCCAATGCTTTCAAGGTACTGTGTTCCCTGGGTCATATGTCATGTCTTGTTTTTCTTCCTCTCTTTTAATTGGTTGATTAAAATATGTTTGGGAGTTGTTCTCAATACAAAATGACTATGTACTGCACCCCAGAGCATTGGACCTTGGGAATACAGGAATAGCCTCGTTAGGAAGCTAACTTTTGCTAATTAGCACTGAATACAAAGTGCAGCTGAGGCTGATGGAAATGGTAGTTTTGCGGGTATTTAGTCATAAACCAAAGAATCTGACATATTTAAAGTTTGATGATACTTTTGGTACAAAAGGAAAAGTTGAGAAATCATTAAAGTTATTAATGTTCATCCTGAGAGGGACATGAATGTTTTATTGTAATCCATCCAATAGCTGAGATATTTCACTCAAAACCACAAATGTCAAACTCATGGTGAAACATAAGGTGATCACCAAAGTCATCAGGATTCATCATGTGGCAACCATGAATATCTGTAGTCGTTGTGGACCAACTGACTTTGGTGAACTTTGCAAAATGTGCCTCGCAGCTACACCATAACACCAACTTCTTGATGGCTACAATAAACAGCAGTAAAAAATGATCAAAGTTATACCAGCTGGAAAATATGTAACCATGTCGCACTGTGTTTACCTGTGGTGACATCTTTCCTAATCCCCCTGACAGAGATAGTTGCACCTTTTATGCCATTTCCATCACGATCCTTAACGACTCCCTTTATCCCTCGATGGACCTGTTTAGGGACAGGCAGCACAATGGAAAGCCATATTATCTCCTTGTCTGCCTACTTTTGCTTGAGGACAAGTGCCTAAATCCCCTACATGCACTTTCTGTATAGTCCTTGTAAATATAGGGACATAACTTGTTATTAATATTGTTTTCATCCTTTCTGTCCTTGACTTGACACGCAGCTATCATTTCACACTTTCCTTGTCAATTATTCACTCTTCCACTATCAGCTGAAATAAATAATACACGGTAAAAAAAAAGCACACTTTAACACAAAGTGGTCATCAAGCATGTCTCACAGGCACTTACAGACTCCAGAAAACTAAGCAGAGCTTCCTTATTCCTCTTCCATTCTGGGTAGAGCTCAGCCTCAGAGGGGAATTTGTCACAGCCGAGCTCCACGGTGATTTCCAGACAATTGGTATGCAGGTAGTTGAAGTCTGACATACCTGCAAGAGAGACATGTACATAATGAGTTCCTCGCAAGCAATGAGAGCTGTGGAAAAACGAACTCATACATCTCTGTAGAAAAAGTTATGTATCTCACCGCCAGCAAAACTGTACCACAGTGCACCATTGATGATGCCCCTCGTTCGGTAAAAGGAGGCTCCACACCTGTCTGTGTCATTGTTTGCCATGGTTTCATGGGCGTCTGCGTAGGTACGAGCCAGCTGCTTCAGAGCCTTAACATGAGGTGATTATGTGACGAGAGAGGAAATCCAGCTGTACTGTTTAACTGAACCTTTTCAGCAACCATTAATCCATCAATTCAGACATCCCTCCATCCTCGCTCCCTACCTGTTCATCTGGGGTGGGTGAGAACATCCTCTCCTCATGCGGGTGTCTAGAGAAGTCAAAGGGATAAGAGACCACCAGATCCCCTCCATGAAGGCTGGCAGATTGAACGAAGGGCAGTGACCTGATCCACTTCATCACTGCATAGGTCTCTGGTGCCACCTACAGCCCAAAAGAAAGCTTGAATTATTGTGGGAGCCAGGCTGATGTTCTGTATCTAATGAGGATGAATCTCTGATAAAAACTAAAAACTATACCCTTACCTTGCCAAACCAGTAGGCATCAGGGATAGGAATGTGGTCAATGCGGTAGTGCCTACTGCGGCGGTTCCGATAGAAAATGGAGGTAAGGTCCGGAAAATTGCGGTTGAGGTCAATATTCTGGGCGTTGGCCCGTCCACTGGTCCAACCATTCAACAAGTGACCCTGAAACATTTAGGTTCAAACAACTAGGACTGTTAGAACATGTCAGAGAGTGCGACATTGTTCAGGATGATGTGATGTTAGTGGGAGCATTAATTATATTATATGAAGAAAATATTGAGCAAATGATATGAAAATTAGTCAGAAGTACAGGAAGGAACCTGTTAGACTATCTTTGTTAATTCTGTTGTTAACATGTAGACAAGACCATATATCCGTCATGAGCAAAAGCAGCAAAGACACTGTTATTGTTTAATATTGGAGGTGAGCAGAAAATGTGTTTGATCCATGATCTAACCATCCAAACAATCATAAAAGGATTTTTGGATTAAGCAAACTGTTGCATATTATTACAAATTATAAGAAGATAAGTATATGTTGTCATATACAGCACAAATATGGGAACAGTTTGAGGTTTCAGCTTACTCTTTGACACATTAAGTATACCTAAGCAATTACTTTAACACGTGCAACAGACAAAATATGATTAAATAAAGTATTTTCGGCCCAAAATATCATAATATTAACAAAAGGCACAACATGCTGCACACTTTCATTATTGTTTAAGCCATGTATTCATTGTGAATTGTGCAATCAGACGGTCTGTCAGTCTAACACTCTAGTCTAGTTTCTGCAAACCACAAATATTTACATCTCTGTATTTCAAACCAATCTGATACCTATGAGACATACAACTTTGACAAATTCATGTCCTTCTGGTCCATCCAAAAAACTTTCTCTCTGAAAACAGAGAAAGGGTTGATTATACAATAAGGGGTTACATTTTTTCAGCCCCGCTGCCCAAAGAAAATGGTGGTATTGTATGTTTCTGTAAACCATGAATATGTTACATTTGCATGTTTCATACATATCATATGAAAGCAACGTTTCTAAAATGACAAAGCATAAAACCTGACATTGTCATCCAGAGGTGGAAGCAGTAGACGGCATGTCACCTAGGCGAAACGCCTGCCAAGCTGCAGACAACTGCTCATGACCAACAAACAACAAAACTGGTGTTGATGTAGCATGTCATTGCTGTGTTTCCAGCGGCACCAAACGTGGGTGTTTTGTAGCAACCGTCACTGTTTATTCCAGCAGAAACAATGCCATGAAAAGTTGTTGTTTTTTCACTAAGACAGCGCTGTATTTCCTGCCAGTATAGTGGCACGAAAAGCAGTTGTTTTTTTACAGAGACACTGCTGCTTTTCCAGCAGGGATTGTGCCTGCAAAGCCAGGTATTTTAAGCCAAAACATGGTCTTTTCCTAACCATAATCAAGTGGTGTTTCTGCCTAAACCTAACCACACATTAGCCATAGCCTTTCTGTAATGTAGAGTTTCAAGTTATCCACTACATAATATGTGCAAATATATCTGCGGTTTGCTCAAACATTCAATGCCAACATTTTTTTCTAGCAATTGGGTTGAAAATGCCTCACTTGGAGTATTGCCATGTGTAACATTATGCCTGCCAAGAAGATATCAGGCTCTAGAGTACATTTTAGATTGCACATTATGTACATGGACAATGGTGTTTTTCATAGTGGACCTCACAATGTGACACCAGCCCCCTATCAAATGACAGCTACAAACATTTGACCATATGATCAAAGAACAGCACACATGCATGTGGAGCTTGTTGAAGGTGCAGTTACATTGTGTGAGACATTAGTGAATACATACACAGCATATCCACTAAAAGGTTGTGTCAGTATTGTTATACTGAGCATTAAAATGCTCAAGAGATGCCAATGCAGAAGTCCCACTTTCTCAGGTTTGTCACACTGTTTACAGAAAGTTGGTCTCAGTAGTTTTGGATCCTAAGCCATAATAATGTAAAATAAACAGAGCTGAGGGACTTATGCAAGTGCTAAGCAAGCTAGTGAAGTGATTAGTGTTGAATTCTCTGGTTAGTAGCGGAACAGAGGGTGAAGGTAGGAGGTGGAAGTTCTTGAGTACTCTTATCTCGCATCCAATTTAGCAACTGAACCAAGATTGAGACACAACAGTGTCAGTTAGACAGTTAAATCTAGCCAACAGCTTCCCAAAATCACTGATTTACTACTGCTTGTCTTCTTGATCTTGATACCAAAATTAATATATTATCAATTTGTTATAACCTTCAGCATAACATAGTAAAAGCAAACTGTGTTTTTTTTTGCTAGATATTTCACATTTGACGGCCTCTATGTCCATGCTACAGCATTGTCATAATGTTGCTCAATGGTGTCCCATTTCACAACCCACAAACAATGTTCAGACACCCTCTGCAGAGTACCTCATTCCTCCACCTCCACACCTCAAGCCAGACAGACAGAACACACAGTGGAGTGAGAGCGCGGATAATGGTGGTTTGTCTTTTCGTTCTGTTAACAGTATTTACTTCCTGGTTGCTGAGCTCCGGGTCATTGTTATCCTCTACCTCTGCGGCCGCCAGCTCATAGCCATCTGGATTCATGGAGGCCAGAAGATGGATGCGGGTGGTGTTGATGATGGTCTGAATTCGGTGGTTCCCCAGAATGTACTCTGAGCACAGGTACTGAGCCAGGTAGATGAGCAGCTGGCGGCCCAGCACCTCGTTGCCATGCATGTTGGCCACCATCTTGACCTCTGGCTCCACTACAGTTAACAGACAGAAGCATGGACAGAAACATGGTTAAAGCTGCATTATCTGATTTGGCCACCTGGGGGCAGCAGAACAATCTGTAAACACTGAACACTAAATACCTCTATGAGCGACACCTCTCACAATATGCATAGTAATTTGATTATTTATGAATATAAAAAGATTTATTGGTACAGCTTTATAAAAAAAACCACATGTTGAACTTCTAATTTCTGTGATTCAGTGTTAGCAATTTATTCTAAAAAAATTTAACTGTTTGAGAGAAGGCTTGTAGCCTTTAACTCTGCCAATATGGTATAGCTACTGGAAGGCAGAAGGAAAGCATCATCTTTTCCTCCAAGAAACACTACTTAAAGGTTCTGTATGTGACATTCAGAACATTGATGGAGCTGTCAGTGTTTGGAGACATCAACTGAGTCATCAGCTGCTCTACAGCTACCAATCAACCCATAACATAGCGACACACCCTCTCCGTCAGCCTATCATCTCACTGCTCCTCACTTTAAATATGGTTCTTTTTCTGCCTGCAGTCCCTTCATGCTGCAGCTATGCATACCCTTATCTTGCATACCCTTTATCTTGCTGCCGCTCAGATGTCCCACGATCCCAGATAATCTCCCTCTGGTGTCTGAGAGCCAAAGACTTTGTTGAAACCTTATCAGCACAAATCATCTGTTAATCTGTATACTTTTATTTTGCTTTAAATTTCATCTTTATTTCATTCTTGTGTCTCTCCCAATTGAAATATAGCAGCAAATCAACTATTTACTATGTAAATATATAGTGGCGTAATGGTGTGTTGTAAACTGAGCTTCTCTGTGGTTTGTTGAAATAAGCTTTAACGTTTTAGTTCACTCTTATTAAACTGTTTAATATTTACATCCATGACCTACCTGCCACACAATCAAGGAATATGCCTACGCAGATGACCTGGCCATACTACTCAGCAAACCATCCTGGGAAGCAGTAGAAGAGGGTCTCTCTTCAGACATGAACACCTTGTCTTCATACCTAAAGAACTGGCGCCTCAAGCTCAGTGTAGACAAGACCACCTCATCAATGTTCCAACTCTACAATTAAGAAGTGACCTGCGAAATGAACATCATGGTTGACAACGCCCGGCTACAGTTCCAGCCCTCTCCCACATACCTCGGGGTGAAGCTCGACAGAACACTGTCATTCAAACAACACCTGGACAGTGTCAAGGCAAAGACAACTGCCCGTGCCGCGCTGATACGTCGTCTAGCCGGTACCACATGGAGAGCCACCACAAAGACAGTGCACATTTCCACCGAGGCCTTGGTGTTCTCCACCGCCAAGTACTGTGCACCAGTCTGGTGCCGTAGCCCCCACGTCAAGAAGCTGGACACTGCCCTCAACACTGCCCTACGGACTGTCTCAGGGTGCCTGAGAGCCACACCAACAAAACACTTACTAGTCCTTGCTGGTATCGTTCCAGCAGAGGTCAGACGGGAAGCAGCAACGTTGGCCCTTGCCCGAAAGACACAAAGATCGTTATGGAGACACCACAACGCACGCATCAGCGTCTGCCCCGACAGCAATGGACAACCCTCAGGGTGTAGGACGCTTCCGTGCAGCAATGCAGAAATGGGGCCTTGTGGACAGTGCAAGCAGCAGTGTAAGCAGCTGCCCCATATACCGGCCAATGAATGGCGATCGTGGCCTAATCGACCTGGATGATGACATGCTGGACTGGCTTGCATCATCAGAGCTGACGGTCTAAGGACATACGCCAGGAGAAGAAGTTCACTCTTACAACTGCCATTGTATTGTTCCCAGCACACAGTTATTCATAGTGAAGAAGTGCTGATAAACACTGCACACCAGCCTAGCACCTAAGATAGTGACTAGCTAAGGAACATTATGGAGCATTAACTAAACAGACCAGAGAAGAGCCCAGTGGAGAGTAAATACTGGATTTACATCACCAGGGCTCCATAAACATGCCTCTAAATTAATGCTAATGTTGCTCAGTATCTGCTGGGTGTGTTAATATGCAACGTCTAACTACTGTAGCTCCCCATATCAACATTAAAAGATGATGAACAGTGTTTTGTTTACAGCTTGTTTCCACTGCCCCCAAGTGGCCAAAAATCAGTTAATGCAGGTTTTAAGATGGATATTAGTAACTCAAGGCACTGTAGGCAGGAGGATGAAGAAGAAATAGGTGCATTTCTAGAGGAATCCCACAATTCTAACATTATCACAGAGATAATTTACACTGGTCCTCCTTACTCACATAGCTCGTGCTGTCCTGGGTTGTTGCTGAACTCAATAACCAGCAGATCCCTGCCCTCTGTGCTGCGTCCGATGCTGTAGACATGAGAGATATGGGAGCACTTTGCCGCTGTTCTCTTCAGTAAGCTGTACATCTGGGCGTTGGTGGTGTAGGTGAACTGGATGATGGTGCTGGGCTCTTCAGGAGAGAGGCTGGACAATGCTAGCTCCTGTCTGGCTGGAGGAGGGATGCCAGGATTTAGAGAAGGAGAGAAGGATTTGCTTGATTGTTTGACAGAGCACTAAAGGTCAGAACAGTACAACACAACAGCGTGACCTTTACCTCTCAGCCCTGCCAGTGGGTCAAAGCAGCCCTCCTGGTCGCCAGCAAAGAAGCGGTCACAGTCTAGGAAGTAGGGCCAGGCCATTTCGATGGCTTCAAAGGCGTGGGCACAGTCCTTCCTCAGTGCATCGCATGAGCTACGGCAGGGTTTGATCATCTTGTCATTCTGGCAGGGAGAGGCGAGCACAGAGCAGCCGAGGAGACGTATCTCAGGGGAGCACTCCCCGTTGAGCAGGCCATGGATGACGCTGAGGAGGAGGTACTCTGCCCCCGACTCTGCCTCCATGCGACTCTTGTGGCCAAGGATGTTGGGGAAGATGGTACTGAAGCAGCAGCATTTCAACAGAAGTTGTTAAACACGATGTCCACAATGGAAAAGGAAAAACAGCGATGGCTTAAAGGTCCAGTGTGTCAAATTTAGGGGGATATATTGTCAGATATGGAATGTAGTATAAGAAGTATGTTTTCTTTAGTGTATAATCACCTGGAAATAAGAATTGCTATGTTTTCCTTACCGTAGCATGAGTCATTTTAATCTACATTGGGAGCAAGTCCTTGCTTTTGGAAATCACCATGTTGCACCATTATGGTTCTATAGTCTTCCAAAACAGACATACACACTGGCTCTAGACAGGGCCATTTGTGTTTTCGTGTCAGCCACCATAGTTTGCAGCCCCTCTATTACGAAAGAGCGGAAAAAACACATATTTTTTAAACATGAAACTGCTTTATTCAGTGTTTTTACCGGTTTAAATGACTAGGTCTGTCCTCCTGAACAATGAAAACAGAAGGAATTCTAACCAGGAGACGTTTCAGCTAGTCGCAATCTGCAATCCTCGCCGCTACATGCCACTAAATCCCCCAAAATCTTACACACCGGACCTTTAAATTTTACTGTTTTTAGTTGGCACTGATTGTCTCACCCACATTAGTGCCAACCTCTACAACCCACCTCGAGTATTCCATATCATTACAATAGCCCAGGTTCAGCTCTGTGCAGGTAGCTGTGGGAGAAAGAAGGCAGAGAAAGCTGTTAACTCACAATTTTTAAAAGGGATGTTGATTTAATTTACAGTTCAGAAAGTAGTCATTTGGTCGTAATTTTACTGCTGAATCTATAACCATTTTAGGACTCAAAGTAGCTTCATCTTTTCAGAGCTTGGCTGAAAGATCAGTATCTGTCCCACCTCTAGGAGCAGTCAAAGACACACTATGATCTATTGATTATGTGCTAGACCTGGCAGGTGTAGCATCTGGTGTTCCAAAATGGAAAAGTACAGTATGGGATTTTTGAAGCTCCATAAATCCTCCCCTGCAGGTTGAGCGCAGTGCTGCTGCAGCTGGTTCTCCTCTCAGACGCCAGTTATCTGGAGAGGAGGCCTGTTGCATCTTGCAGTGTCACATGGTATTTCCAAGAATTCGGTTTTCAAGCCCTGTAGGTCAAGTCTAAGCCTGGAAATTAATCGAAGTCTAATTTCTAAGTAGACAGGCCCTGATCTGATTCTGGAGCTTGCATACAAAATCTGATCTTGAAAATCCATCATAGATATGGTTTAATGTAAGGGGAAATTAATAAGCCACCTACGTTTTTCTTCCAACACGCTGTTGCTGCATTTCCCTGTGAGAGAACACATGACAAACAACAAACAGCATGGAATATTAGTGGGTCACAAGTGAAACACTAGGAGGCGACATCTTCAAAAGCAAGAGACGAGCCAATGCAGGGGCCTCTGCTTTAATACTGTTTATGACAAGTCTGGACAAAAACGGCAGGTGACAATGTATCTGCAACATGAAGCCACATCTGCATGATAACGAGACGGTATAGGCCTACAAAGGAATTTGGCTGTAAACGCTGCGAGACTGAATAACACAGAATGACGGGTATTAATTAGATCATTTCCAGCATATGCTGTGTTAAGATGTAAATCAGGATGCGTGTGGTGCAGTCTGCCTCTCAGCTCTATCGGCATTATATTGATTAGGAGCGTCAGAAGTAGGCTCGTCTTCAATCGTCCATGTTGCTCATTCAAATAGGCCTTTAAGTTTTGTTTCCAAGTCATCACGCATTAGTGTCCTACAGTACGCGTATTTCTATGATCCATTTGTCTGAAGTTGAAGTGCTCTTACCTAAAGCTTCGTCTCCTGGGTGACAAGTCTGCTGCGGGGCGCACCAACAACTTTTCGTCAAGGCAAGAAACAGCAGCAAAAGTCCTAAATGCATGTTGGAGTGCAGTAACGGCGGTGTTGTGATGTGGCAGTGTGTCTGTGCGTGTGTGCGTGTGTGTGTGTTTGAAGCTGCAACTTTCCTGTTCTCTAGGCTGGATGATAATTACCACCCACGGCACGGAAACCTCCTTCTTTTGTCTGCGCGGAGCATCCCTGACCCAAGAAAAAAAGTGCGCCGCGCCAGGATTATGGCTCACTGCTGTGCGTTACGAGCGAACGCCGATCATATTTCACTGCACAAAGCTCTGTGTGTGTGTGTGTGTGTGTGTGTGTGTGTGTGTGTGTGTGTGTGTGTGGGAACATGAGGAAGAAACGTGGCTTGTGGGGGTGGGAGTGAAGAAAGTTCATGCCTGTTTGTTTGACATAATAAAGTTGCTTCACCGTTTCAGTGCAGGAATAGATCTGAGCACCATTAGTCTGTGAAACCTCGTCAACCTTCCTGTCCTCGCTGTTTTATTCATATGATGATCATCTATTATTATAGCCTACCTATATAGGAATGTATGGTGTGTTTATAGCAGCGGTTCCTAACATAGGGGTAAGGACCCCCTAGAGGGTCCCAAGATAAATATGAGCGGTCACCAGATGATTACAGCAATAATAAGAAAAAAAACAGCTGCACAAAGGTTTGTCTATTTTTTGATACTTTACTTGACATACACTGTTTTTAAGGTGTAATATGATCTTGTCTATGTGTTTAACTAACTGCTTGTCTGCTTGTTATGTTGTCTTTTCTTGTGTTTTGTGTGCCAGAGACAGATTTCAGCCCAGTAACCGGGGGAAATGTTGGCATTTTACGTTTCCGCAAACTACAGATATAGGTTAAATTGGTACATTTCATATTTATCATATATTCTTATACTTATGGGCGGCATGGTGGTGCAGTGGTTAGCATGCTCATTGGGTGGGGGAGCCATTCTATATGGAGTTTGCATGTTCTCCCCATGTCAGCTTGGCTTTTCTCCGGGTACTCTGGCTTCCTCCCACAACCCAAAGAGGATTAGGTTAACTGGTGACTCTAAATTCACCGTAGGTGTCAATGTGAGTGTGAATGGTTGTCAGTTTCTATGTGTCAGCCCTGTGTTAGTCTGACGACCTTTCCAAGTGTGGGCATTTTAAGGTGCGGACACACCAAACCGACATCAAAGAACTAACGGCGACGAAAGCCAACTGTTGCGTCGTCTACGTCGCCTCACGTCGCCCACGTCGCCTCACGTCGCCCTGTGTCAGTGTTGAACACACTACATGGAGTACATCCGACAGCCAAGTAGCACGGATGTTCTGCGCCTGCGTGAGAGAGTGGTAGGCCTACATCCTGTCAGCCGAGGGGTTTCTTATCTGTGCAGCCGAGCACCGCAGCACCTCCACGGACTATTACATCCAGACGGTCCTGGTGTTTCCGCTGCAGGCTCGACTTCACTCAGCTGCCTGATAAACCCGCTGCTTCTTCCCACTTTTTTTAAAGATATTTTTTGGGGCATTTTTTAGCCTTTATTTGATAGGACAGACAAGTGTAAAGGGGGGAGAGAGAGGGGGAGTGACATGCAGCAAAGGGCCACAGGCTGGAGTCGAACCTGGGCTGCTGCGGCAACAGCCTTGTACATGGAGCGCCTGCTCTACCACTAAGCCACCGACGCCCCTGCTTCTTCCCACTTTAACCTGAATAACAAACCAGGGCTGGGTGCTCCGGTTGGATCCAAACAGAGAGCTGGAGCAAGCTGGGAGGCTAGCGGAGGCTAACTGGCTGTGTTTCCCTCTGGTCATGCTGCGGCTAACGCTTTGCTAGGCGCTCCCAGCTAGCTCCGGTTTGTTATTCAGGTTAAAGTGTGAAGAAACAGCGGGTCTCGGGCAGCTGAGTGGAGAGGCTGAAGAGGAAGCACCTGTTAGCCCTGGTTTCACTACAAGCAGATTCACTAGCTAGAGGGACGAGGAAATAAAACCTGAACAGCCAATCAGAGTGATCTCTCTCACCGACAAGCTCCGCCACCGATTCAACATGTTCAATTGGCCGAAAAGCTGCCACCGCCGCCGCCATCAAATTGTCGAAGGTGCGGGACACACTGCAAAAACTAGGGTGACAGACGCTCACCGATGGCCCGACTTTGGTCGACGGCCGACCGTCGGCTTGGTGTGTCAGGGCCTTTAGTGACCTATCACTGTGTTCCCACCAGAGATAGTACTACCTAAAGCAGTTGTTTTTTACCGAGACATTGCTGCATTTCATGCTGCGGTAGTGCCACAAAAACAGGATATTTTAAGCCAAAATATAATATTCTCCTAACCATAATCAAGTGGTTTTTGTGCCTAAGTTTCAACATGTCTGCTAATGCCTAAATGTAAGATATCCGTGGTTTGCAGAAACATACAATGCCAACGTATATTCTGGCGGCTGGGTTGCAAATTTCAGCCCTGGTGGACGATTAAGATCTCTTCTTTTCTTCAGGCAAGTAAATTGCTTTCAGCTGTTGTGTTGAGACGTTTCATACCACAGAAGTTGTGAACCACTGCTACACAACTTTTCCTTCAGAATATTGCCAGAATCTGATGTTTTTTTCACTCATATGTACTCATATGGCAGACTCATAGTGTATCTGTGGCAGTGTTTATTCTTTAATCTGTTTTTGTTGTGATATAACATCTTCACACATTCTCACACCTATGTTACACTCAACATGTTAAAAATGGCGCTCATCAACACAAACGTTAACATTAGCTTTATAACAGTCATAAGAAGAAACATTATTTCAGCTCTTTCACTGAAACATGAAGACCACTTCCTGACAAGTTTGAGGTTACTTCAACCATACATTTACACTGATGATAGTAATAAACATAGTGTTGTGGGCTTCCTGTGGTGTGTTCTTGGCTACGCCTCAGCAGGCAAACTGATGAGCCCTATGGAAACAGCAGTCTATAGAGGCTGAAGAGGCTGAAGAGGCCTTTGGCACACATCAAAGGCCAGTGTGGGCTCGCTGAGCATACATTGTTTGTGTCCTTCACAGTTCTCTCATTGGACAACAATGTGGCCCAAAGAGTCCTGAGATCCACGTCCATGTTAAAGTGTCCTTGAGCAAGACACTGACTTCCTTCCATCTGCAGGGCTGCTGCTCTTCAGAGACCCTGACCTCTAACCTTCCCGCAGGAGGGATGCAGGTGCTGAATCATTTAATCATTTTAATATTTGCGCATCAAGCTCAGGTGATTCTGGCAACACAGTTGTCATCTGTGGTGTCCAGCGTGCTGCTGGCGCTGTGGATAGACAGCGAGTAGTGATCCTTTCTCAGAAAACGACTGATGATACCTACTAGGACTTTTCTGTACTGATGCCGCAGCAGGCAGTAGACAAACGGGTCGCTGGAGGTCTTGGCATAGGACAGACATTTGGCAGTCATGCCCCAGTAACGGGGGATGTGCACAGAGGGCAACAACTCAACCAACCTGCAGATGGAAGAAGCAGAAGAAGCAGAAAAAGTCAATAGATAGAATCACTGTGAAGACATGCTAACATCACTTTTGGGTAGACATCTGGCAACTGATCTGAATAGCAGAGATATGTAAAATCAGTGATCTTGTTTATTTCTGTTGTAATTTTCAGCTGTAACTGTTTATTAATGTTTAAGATGCATAGTTAAATTCAGAAATCCAACCTATCTGCGCTTATTTTCTGCACTTTGTTGCTTGGCCAGAGTCTTTGATAAATCAAATCTACCACAGAAGCTAAGCAACGTATTCCTGTGCACATTGGCCACAATAAAACAATAAAACCCTCCTTAAAAAATCAATATCAGTTTAAGCATACACTACATTTGGAATATTTCTCTGCTTTACCCACACAATAACTAATCAAAGCACCAGTAACCCCCATGTTCTGCAAAGTAAAATTACTGTTTTTGTCAGTGGAATCTGGTGGATTTGAGATTGAGTCTTTAGTCCTCTGCTGGAGAGAGCTGTCTGACAGCAAGGTAAAGTGGAGGAATTTATTTCTAATATAGTGTACACTTAGGCTAAATGATAGTGATTTTTTTGGTGGGCCTTTTTAAAGATAGCTGAAAACCAATTGAGGCAGCGTTAGCTTAGCTCCGTTTCATTTTATGTAGATGATGTGGGGATTTTCCACTCCATGGGTTATTGTAAATTCTCTTGGCTCTGATGTACTGAATATGAAAGCCAGTTTCTGTCATGCACTTGAAAAAAAATCACCAAAAACACCACTTTAATATCTTGTATCTCTCATAATTATGTGATAAGTCAGATTTATGTTATGTCATAGCATATTTTCTCATGATTATGAATAAAGACTTGGTTAGGAACATAATAAGTGGCAGATTTTTGTTTTTGAAATGTATTTGAAAATATATTTCTGGCAGCGTATATGGGCTTCCATAGACCATTATGTCTGTGTATAAGTAATCTTTATTAGCTTTTGTAATGTATATTTTTAATTAATCTTACACATTTCAGCTTTATTTTTTAATGCAGTTGTGTGAAGTTCTATGCATATATGAGGTGCCCAAGTAGTTGCTAACAGATATGGATATGAGTATAATCTAATTCTTTGTAATATACTAAATGATATCAAAACTTAATATAATGACATTTTGTGTTAAAGAGGTGATGATTGAACTTCACTTAAAGCTGTAGTATATCACTCTATATTGTGAGATAACAAATTATTAGGAATACTTTACAATATTACTCTCAACACAGATTTAACAAAATGAATGTCAGCTTCACTAAGGAAACAAATCTGGGTTTTGTAAATAAATTATTTACTGGTGTGTTCAGAGTCTTGTCTCTGTGTGTGAAATGTTACACCACAGTAAAACTGAACTTTGAAGAGGCAGGAGTCATGTGGGAGGTTAACCAGCTGGCCTGACACAGAGACAGTAGGCTTCTGAGAGAGCAGGCTGTTACCTTGTTATAACGTAGGGTGAAAAGCAGAGGATGAAGGTGCCGATGAAGATGAAAATTTTTTTAGTGGCGCGTTGCCTCCTCTTCTTCTGCTCAGCCAGACACCTCTCCTTCACACTGAAAGACACAGACACAGATTAATTAATGCATGACATAAAACAGCGAATAAATTAGTAGTATTATAAAACAGCTTTTGCACAGCATTCTAAAATAAGTCATGTTAACTTAATTTTCTCCATTAAAACAAGTCAAGGGAACATGATTCAGCTTCTCCAGTATACTTTACCTGGGGTGAATATCCACCAGCAGAAGCAGAGTCTGCACCGT